AATGATTAGAATGCAACATGGCACGCAACGGAGCACTAAAGAAAAAGCTCTAAAAATTGAATTCACTGGGTTTTTTTTGTTCTTTTAAAAAAAAAAATTGGTGAAATTATTGTCAAAATTCCCTGTAGGTATGTTTGTCTTCTTTTATTTGTTTAAAATTCATGGTGGGATTCTCAGGATATATAAAACAGTTCATTTATTGGATAGAAATGTAATGACTGTTTTAGTGTTTTGCTTCTGAGCACTGCATAGGAAAATGCCAGCCACAAAAGCACTGAAAGCCAGTGTGAGATAGTGGTTAGTAGAGTGTGGTGTACTGGCTGAGGGTCCAGTAGGTAAAGGTTTCCCTTGCTCGAAAGTCAGTCAAGTCTGACTCTAGGGTGCGGTGCTCATCTCCGTTTCCAAGCCGAAGAGCCAACAGTATCCGAAGACGTTTCCGTGGTCATGTGGCCAGCATGACTACATGCCGAGGCACATGAAACACTGTTACCTTCCCACCAAAGTGGTACCTATTTATCTACTTGCAATTTCTTGCTTTCGAACTGCTAGGTTGGCAGGAGCTGGGGCCAGAGCTGGGAGCTCATTCTGTCATGCGGCACTCGGGTCACTCTGGGCATGTCACTGTCAGTCAGCCTAACCCACCACGCAGCATTGTTGTTGTAAAGATAAAATGGAGGAGTGGAGATCTACCTGTATGTTACTCTGTTGATATGTAATACATTAGGATTTTTCAGGATGATCTTTCTTTTGAGTAAATACAGTCAAGTGTACAGGAATTGTCATCTTAAATAAATGCAAGTCACTCCAAAAAATCAATTAGTTTACTCAATGGACACACAGATTATATTCTTTGGTTGAAATGCAGCTATATTTCCAACATATTCCAGGTGAAAGATACATTGTTACATAATCAGAAACTGTTTAGGTAATTGGACTCCAGGCAACTTCAAGCTACTCCTTCAAAAAGAGGAACTGTGCTGCAAAACTGTGCTGGAGTTGGGAGTAAGCAGTGAAGTGGCTAGATTTGCGGATGATACGAAGTTGTTCAGGGTGGTGAAAACCAGTGAGGATTGTGAGGCACTCCAAAGGGATCTGTCAAGGATGGGCGAGTAGGCATCAACATGGCAAATAGGGTTCAATGTGGCCAAGTGCAAGGTGATGCACATTGGAGCCAAAAATCCTAAGTATAAATACACATTTATGTGGTCTGAACTGGCAGAGACTGATCAAGAGAGAGATCTTGGAGTTGTAGTAGATAACTCACTGAAAATGTCGAGACAGTGTGTGACTGCAATAAAGAAGGCCAATGCTATGCTGGGGATTATTAGGAAGGGTATTGAAAACAGATCAGTCAATATCATAATGCCCCTATAAATCAATGGTGCGACCTCATTTGAAATACTGTGTGCAGTTCTGGTCACCATACCTTAAAAAGGATATTATAGCTTTGGAAAAAGTGCAGAAAAGGGCAACTCGAATGATAAAGGGGTTGGAACACTTTCCCTATGAGGAAAGGTTAAGGCGCTTAGGGCTCTTTAGCTTGGAGAAACGACAACTGAGGGGTGACATGATTGAGATTTATAAGATTATGCATGGGAAAGAGCAGGTAGAGAAAGAGGTACTTTTCTTCCTTTCTCACAATACAAGAACTCGTGGGCACTCCATGAAATTGCTGAGCGGTCGGGTTAGAACGGATAAAAGGAAGTACAACAGTGGGAGGGCTTCTAATGTCCTGGCCCCACTGGTGGACCTCCTGATGGCACCTGGTATTTCTGGCCACTGTGTGATACAGAGTGTTGGACTGGATGGGCCTTTGGCCTGATCCAACATTGGCATCTCTTATGTTCTGGTTACAGTTTCTCCACAGTAATGGTTATACTACTTACACTGGGTTTGTAAATATTTTATCTTCTTTTTCATAGTATGCTGTGTGTATTTTTAAAATGTTTTTACTCAAATCTTCCCTTCCCCTTTTCTTCTGCTTCTTTTATGCATGAAAAATGCACAAATTGTGAATATAATTTCTGGAACTCCTGAAATATTGGACCAGAACATTTTCTATTTAATTATATATATGAAAATATATATATGTATAAGATCTTGCTAAAACCTGGTCTCCTGTTGGAGAAACAGAAGTCCATGACAGGATCAGCACGGTTTTCCAGCTCCATTTTGTTAAGAAGCTGGCTCCCTGTTTGCAGATGTCTTATCTGCCCACGCAGATTCATGCTTCAGTAACCTTGAGGCTAGATAGTGCTGCCATTGAAGATGATCTGAAAACAGTAGCTGGTACAAAATGTGTTATGAACATACCACAATATTACAAGAGCCAGACCCTTTTTGGGGTGGGGGAGTGAGAGAGCAACAGAAAATACACTGACGGGCTGTTCTCTCCCCCCCCCCCCTCCTGCAGAGGCAGATGAAGAAGCCCCATTCAACCCAGTGAGTGATACTCCTGCAGGGCCTTCTCTGGAACTGGTTTTTGAGCAAGGGAAACCTTTACCTTTACCTATATTTTGTATATTTAAAATTATTTAGAATTTATCGTTGTGATATGTCTGACTTCATTTGAGTGATTTTTCTATGAGATTTTTAAAATCATTTTTTATATTTTTTTGAGTTTTTATTTGAGGCCCCAGCAGATTGCGAGGCCCTAAGCTGTAGCTTATTTAGCTTATGCGTAAATCCAGCACTGCACATATGATGAGTAATATGTGCAGGGACAGTAAAACTCTACATACCAGTAGTTTTAGGGGAAGGCCTTGGCCTCTAAGCCCTATTTGTTGTTCCTCTGGGACAAATGGCTGGCCACTATGTGGCTGGGCATCTCTTATGTTCATAACTCCTATCTCAATGTAGTCACTGTTTCAAAGGTCTTTTTTACATACATATTAACTGAAAGCTAAGAGAATTATATAGATGGGTTACAATTCTTATAACTTCTGTTTGTTCACCTGCACACTTGAGGGTTGCCAGGTCCAAAGGACAGGCTGGCGGAAGACTTACCAGGAAACTCTGAGAGAGAGGAGGGAAGAAGCAAGCCGTGCCTACATCACCCAGACGTGACGTAGGCATGTCAGTGACATTGGGGGGGGGACACGCTGGTTTTTGGGCAAAATTCTATGGTTTGAAGCTAATTCTACCATGGAGTTTTGCCCAAAAACCAGAATATTGTCCCCTTGACATCACCGACATGCCCACATCACTTCCGGGTGAGGTGGGCACGATGCGTTTGGGGCGGTAATTTCCCCCTGCCAGCCAGCTGCCTGGTGCCAGGGAGGAGCACCAGAAACCTGGGGATCCCCTGCAAGCTAGGGGGACCTGGAAATCCTAGCATACTTCATGCTTTTGGCCTGTGAATTTCCTTGTCCCTTTGGGAAAGCAATTTCTGTATGTGATAAACAAATAATTCACTTGATAGTCTGCACTCTGAGAGCAGGAAATATGCAGCATTTTTTAAAAAGCTATTATTTGATTTAATTGTTACACTTTTCACCTTGATGGAGGGACACACGACCAGACCTACAAAATCGCTGTTACCAGAATAAGTTGTGGAGGTGATATGGCTATACCTATGGCCCATCACTAATACCAGGAGTCCAATTATAAGTATACAAGGAAACAACATCCGGTTTAATTATATGTGTACTAAAACTCTGTAACAGGTCTTTGAATGTGTGTCTAGAATATATAGATAATAGTGACCACTGAGGAAGGCCCTTAGGGGCTGAGACGCGTTTGGTCTTCAGTAAAGTATTTACCCATCATATGTATGTATAGTGGATAAGCTTTTACAGTCTGATTTTAGACAAAGTAATTTTTAATCAGGAAAGTTTTAACATGTGTACACCTTAATACATATTTTTACTTATATATATATATGGTTTAGCTTAGCCCTTTTTGGTTTGTAGTCATACCCTGGGTTGAGTTCCCCCCCCCCCCAGTTTTTGTTACACTTACAACCCAGTCCTCCTCCATGGAACTCAGAGCAACAAAAATGGTATGCCTGTGATCCAGAGATTGGCAAGGCCTAACCGGCTTAAATCCAGAAATGGAACTTCGACGTGTACCTCCAAGACCATTTTCTGGGTCACAGGCTTGCTTTCTTGAGAAATCACTCTATTAACCTTTGGGTTATGGAAAAACAGCAACTGCTATGACTCTACACTCTACAGCATTCCTGAAAGAAAATCTGCAGTATGGTGTATTTCAAATTATCCAAAAGCAATCTATGTGTTGACCGTATAGAGGAAACTCAGAAAACAGATTGATTATATTATACAGGGGGTACAGGGCTTTTTATTTAACAAACCAAAGGTTTGACATACCAAGAGTTACATCAGGCCTAAATCGGCTGTCCATTACATGTTTTTCTTAGAGATGACAGGCCAAACATACAAGTAACAAATCTGAAGAAAAATGGCTTGGATCCCACTGAAAACTACACTTATTGAAGGACAGTAGCTTCTCACTTACCAGGGGACAGTAGCTTCTCTACTTCCTGGTGAGGACCAAAATGCACCCAATACAGGGTTGCCAATTTTCAAGGTTGCCGTGATGTCATTTCCAGTGCCAGGTCCCCCCAGGCCACCGGCAGGGTTGCCAGATCCAGGTTGGGAAACTCCTAGAGATGTGAGGATGGAGCCTGGAGAGAAAAGGGGCCTCGGTGGGGTACAATGCCACAGAGTCCACCCACCAGAGAAACCATTTTATCCAGGGGAACTTATCTCTGTCTTCTAGAGATGAGCTGTAATTCTGGGTAATCCCCAGGACCCACCTGGAGGCTGGCATCCCTACACCATGACATTACATCTGCTGTAGTTTCAGATGAGAACTGGAGATCTCCCAGAGTTGCAACTGATCTCCATAGTAGAGATCATAGTAGTTTTTTTAACCAGGATAGCCATGAGTATACTGAAATAATCTGCCGTATTCCTCCTTCCTTTGTCATTACAATCAGTATTATATAAAGAATTAACATAGCAAGTATTGAAGCTTACTTTGAGCTGCACCAAATGCACATCCACGTGCTTGCTGTCAGAGTCCTGCTGCACCGAGTACGTCAGATCCCTGACCCTTTCTGATGTCATCCGGAGCCATGTCTCAATTTCAGGCAAGTGGAGAACGATCTTCCAGTCAGCTCCCGTATGGAGAGGGGGAGGCTTCTCATACTGCTCTCCAGAGTCCAGGTCTTTCATTGCCTCTTTTCTGCCATCCTGCTCAGTGGTGGGAGTCATGTTGATGACCACAGGGGAAGCATCCATAGCTATAGAATCCAGTTCCTGAGACCTGATGGGGGAAAGTGCTACTTCCATGGCTAACATTGGGAGTTCTAGACCATAACGCTTCCCAAATCTGCAGTACACACAAAAGAAACAGGTAGGTGTTTTAAAAGAAAGTACACAAATTAAATGCACTCTGTTCTTTTAAAATGCACAATGAATTTGCTAGCTGGAGTCCTTGCAATCCTATATTACTTTAATTGTTAGCGGATAGGTGCATGCAAGGTTCTGGCTCATATCTCCTTTAAAAGCAAGCTGTGCATATTTTGCATTTTAAAATTCATTAAAAGTCTGGCTAAACATGACTTTAATTCAACTTCAATGGTAGCCAAAACATGCATAAAGCATGCAAATTAAACATCCCCCAGACTCCAAAAATTCTTACTATCCAGCCACCATATTCTGAGATTCCACCTAAATATTTTGAAGCCTAACTTCATAGCCCTAATAACTAAGAACTTGGGGTTTTAAACAACCACTGAGATTCCATTAAAACTTTTTTTTTTTACTGTCAAGAATGTTCAGAGGTGTTTTGCTAACTACTTATAGAGCAAAGGCAAAAAAAAATTGTTATAGTACTGACAGAAGCTTACTACACCAGTCTTGATCTGAACATGAGGCTTTGCAGTTGCACTCACAGGTCTCACAGAGATCTGGTCAGCTTTTGAGACTCTGAAGATAAAACCCATTGCCTGACATAGCATATATATTTGAGTTTCCAGATGTTACAGAGACTCATAATACAGTGACTTTCTTTCTGGACAAAACAGAGGAGCTGTAGCTGCATGACATCAAGTAAAATCAAACATTCTTGTAGCTGTGCATGCACCAGGATGAGGATAATGTACATTCTTGGGGGGGGGGGGTTTGCATCTATACATAAATGTCGGTATGCATCAGTGATGTTGGAACTTCCAGAATACAGCTTAAGCAAATTACTCCATCAGGAAATCCTAAACAGAATTACACCCATCTGACTTCAATGGAGAGAAGGGGGCAAATCTGTTTAGGATGGCATTGCATGTCACTTGACACAGCTATGCTCATACAATATATGATAACTATTTTAAAGAATTTACAATGGTCTGCAACCAGAATACATATACCCACATGAACACACATGAAGCTGCCTTGTGCTGAATCAGACCATCAGTATTGTCTACTCAGAAGAAGAAGAAGAGGAGATTGGATTTATACCCCGCCCTTCACTACCCAAAGGTGTCTCAGAGTGGCTTATAAACTCCTTTCCCTTCCCCTCCCCACAACAGACACCCTGTGAGGTAGGTGCAGCTGAGAGAGCTCTTGACAGAAACTGCTCTTTTTCAAGAACATCTGTGCCAGAGCTACGGCTTGCCCAAGGCCATCCAGCCAGGTGCCAGTGGAGGAGTGGGGAAATCAAACCCGGTTCTCCCAGATTAGAGTCCGCGCACTTAACCACTATACCAAACTGGCTCAGACTGGCAGCAGCTCCCCAAAGTCTCAGGCTGAGGTCTTTCATATCACCTACACCCCAGTATTTACTGGAAATGCCAGGGATTGAACCTGGGACCTTCTGCATGCCAAGCAGAAGCCCTACTAATGAGCTATAGCCCCTCCCCATACAAAAAGGTATGGTTTACTGAAATTGGTTGAACCCATGGGAAACCCCTTTCATGCTGTCTTTGAGAGCGGAACATGTATGGTAGAATTGCATTGGCAACTTCCAACCCAAAACTATCCATGTTGACTGTGATGTAGGTGCAAAGCCTACACAAGTATGGATGTACAATTCTCCAAACTGTAAGAAACCAAAAGGAAGTCTGCTTTTACTGAGTCGTTGATAATGTGTCAAGAGCCATATGCCCATGGCACTCTACATGCTTTCCAATGGCCATGCATAGTTTGGGAAGTGGCACATGGAGTTGCCAGCCTCCAGGTGACACCCAGAGATATCCCGCTATTGCAATTGATCTCCAGATGACCAAGATCAGTTCCCCTGGAGAAAATGGCTGCTTTAGTGGGTGGCCTCAATAGGATACCCTCCTGAGGTCCCTCCCCTCCCCAAACCCCACCCTTCAGAGGCTCTACTCCCCAAATTCTCCAGGTATTTCCTGATTCAGAGCTGGCAACCCTAGCTTGTCACCACAAGTCCACTTCCCCTCCACGTGCATTCATTCATTTCTTCCACAAAGAAAATCTGAAAAGGGGTCTTGTCACTCCACTAACTGCAATAATGATTACAAGTCAACCCCAGAATTTAATATACATTTTGCTTCAGATATTTCAGCTTCATTTGCCAAGCATTTTTATCTGTCTAGTTAGAATTGAAGATATCGGCATTCTTTCATCATCAGACTGGTAAAAACCCAAACCGCCTTCATTTTAGAGTGTTTTCTAAGTGCAGACTGCAGTGTACAGTTGTTTATTCAGTTGTGACTCATTAAGAGTTCTAAATGACATTCCCAGCATGAGGATTCTCTGCTCTCCCAGTGCAAGCCATTTGAATTTTTAAAAATCTATATGAAAATGTGGGAGGAACTGGTAAATCGGATTGCGATTAAAAAATAGTGCAAGCAGGCCAAAAGAAAATAACACTAGATCATCACATTCAAGCATGAAGCTGCCTTGTACCAAGTCTGATCCAAGGGCGTAGACTTTCCAATTTCCCGGGGGGGGCTGGGGCTGGGCCAGAGGCATTGCTAAGTCATTAAAAGAACTGGGACCCAATGACATCATAGGGAGGAGCTAGTGACATCACAGGCATGGTCATTATCTATGGAGGTGGACCCATGTGGGATTTAGGGATGGGCTCCCCAGAAATTTAGGGAGGCCTGGGAACCGCCCTAGCAATGTCCCTGGGCTGGGCTAACCCCAGGAACAGTTGCCTTCTTAGCACACTGCTTAGAAACTTAGAAAGCCCCCCACACACCCCACACTGGAATAAGAACAAAATATCAGGCCATACCACATTGCAATAAAGCCCCTACAACTGTATACAGAAATACTGAGCTTCCCTACCATTTGCCACAACTAGCCCACCACACAAGAAGAAGAAGAGATTGGATTTATACCCCGCCCTTCACTACCCAAGGGAGTCTCAGAGCGGCTTACAAACTCCTTTCCCTTCCCCTTCCCACAACAGACACCCTGTGAGGTAGGTGGGGCTGAGAGAATTCTGACAGAAACTGCTCTTTTTCAAGAACGGCTGTGCCAGAGCTTGTGACTGACCCAAGGTCACATCAGCAGGTGCAAGTGGAGGAGTGGGGAACCAAACCCGGTTCTCCCAGATTAGAGTCCACGCTCCTAACCACTACACCAAACCACGACACAACCAGGATCAAGACTCCTAAGTGGACCAACAGACAGGCATACACTTGTTTGAGAAACTATTACATTACAACACCTCTGGAACATTACAGATCAGTAGAGGCAGCACTG